ACTTTGGCATTTGCTACCATGTGATCAATTTGGTTGGCTTCAAAAAAGAGTTGGACCAATTCATAGAAATCATGGGGATTAATGGCTATTAGCATTAAAGGCAATGGGATTGCCTCTAAAGGCCATCTGCTGGGAGACAAGTGGGCTTCCTTGTGCAGTTAGTTGGCCACTGTGACTGCTGGACTAGATGGGGTAGGCATTCAATCCAGCAGGGCACTGCTTATGTTTCTTATGTTCTTAACAACAACAACAACAACAACAACAACAACAAGTATGGAATCACTCTTTTTGAACATAAGAGCAAAACACTGATTTAGGGAATGAGACCAGTCTGAACTGAAACTATTGTGGAAGTGTGTGAACCACCTGAGACAAACTGCCACTAGTTTTCCTTCAGGGTTCTGGCTGTGGAATTGTGGTAAATTGCCTATATAGATGAGGAATCATTCGCCCATTCAATCTGCTTTTTCTCCTATAAAGGGAACAACAGACCAACACACAATCAAAAAGTATGTTTACTATATCATAGAAATACAGCATTTCAAGGTGACATTTGGGCAATCAAGTCCAAGCCTGTCCAGTACAGGAATCCAGATTAAAGCATCCATGACAGATGGCTGCCAAGCCTGTGCTTGAATCCATCCACAGGTGGGCCCCCCATCTCTTTGGATAACTGGTTCTGCTGTTGAACTGCTTTACTCTTAGCAAAAAACTTTTGCTAAATCTCCCTTTCTGTAACTAAAGTCTGTAATTCCATGTTCTGCACTTAGGACTATAAAGAGCAAGACTTAGCTTTCTTCTGTGGAACATCCTTTTAAAGAGTGTGACCATATTTCCCCTCAATCCTGTCTTCTCAGGGCTAAACTTTCACAGATATCTCACTGTCTCTTCCCAGAACTTAGTTTTTAGCCTTCTGCTTATTTTGTTGTCCTTCTTTATATCTTTTCCAGTTCATCTGAATTTTTCTTAAAATGTTGTGCCTAAACTAAGGCATAATATTCAAGGTGGGCTCTCACCTAAACTGAATGAAGTAGAACTGTTGCTTCCCATGATTTAGAAATTCTCTTAAGGCAGCCTAGAATCACATTAGCTTTTTTATACAGCTGCATCACACTGCTGACTCATACACGTGATTAACTACTATACTAACATTATTTTCACAAGTACTGTACTATTGTTAAGCCAGGTATTCTCCATTCTGCACCTATACCTACTTATACCTATGCATTGACTTTCAGTTTGCTAAATACATTTGTGCTTGTTAAACATCATTATGTTATTTTCAATCTATTTCTCTATCAAGATAATTTTGAATTTTATTTCTGTTTGTGGGATTAGCTCTCCCAGCCATATTTATTTTATCTGCAGATTGGATAAGCAGTCTTTCTAGAGGTGTGCAATATTCAGATCTGGACAAGGGTGCTTTGGATCCAGCATGGATAACCTCCCTTTATCTTCTGGTTTTTCCATAAAGGAGCTGTTCCTTTTCCTGGGGTTACTCAATAGCCACGTGAACTCAAGAAATAATGGGTTAAGGAGGCCTTAAAAGGGTGGCAAACATCATTTGGCATATCGCCAATTCTTCAGGATTTCTCAAAGATAATATATGAAGTTTTTCTCATACCATCAGCAAACTCCTTTAGTACCCTTGGATGCTATTCATTTTGGCCACAGAGATTTGTACATATCCTCTTGCTGCAAAAGACTGAGTCAAAATAGAAGTTTGTTTATTTAGGATGTGTATATTGTACGCTGGTGTCTCCTGTTGGGCTCCCAGTGGTTCATGTGAGTACAGATACTTAAAAATAAAACCAAAACTGCACAAAAGCATTCCTCAGATGCATCGGCCCCCTCCCTCCTGGCCTTCTGGAAGGACTTGAAGACCTGGCTCTGCCATCTGGCCTGGGGTGGGGAGGGAAGACATCAGGTGTGGGGCTGGAAGGACTTGAAGACCTGGCTCTGCCATCTGGCCTGGGGTGGGGAGGGAAGACATCAGGTGTGGGGTTGGCTAGCCCCTTAGAGCCCTGGCATTTGCTGCTCCAAACCATCACCCTCCTGGACTTTCTTTTTTAGTAATTGTTTTATATAGGTTTTCTGTAATTGAATTCTTATTTATTATTTTAATGAGTTCTAAGCCGCCCAGAGTCCCCCATTAGGGGGAGATGGGCAGGGATAAATTTAATAAATAAATA